TTACGCATGCACACGCGTTTGCCTCCGCTGTGGTGGCTTCCATCAGTACCCGTACCGCACACCAGGCATCGCCAGCTATTTCATCTTTAACGGCCTCTACAGGCCAGCAGCAGACACAAGATTTAGTAAGTGAATAGCTCCAATATTTGTATATCTTTTTTAAACTTGTTCTTTGATTAGATAAACAAATCGAATAATCCTGTGGGCGCTAGTGGATCCACAACTTCAATTGGTCAAAATGCTTCTGGCTCTTCTGTATACAATTCTCGACGTGCTTCCATGGACAACAGCATGGGATCCGATATTCAGTTGCATGGAAATACCTCCTCCATTATTGAAGGACCCGCTACTAGTACAGATCCCACACCAACTGAAGCGTCCAATACTGGTATTATTGTCGCCGGCACGACAGTTGAGAAGCATCTCTCAAAGCAGGGAAGTTTGGACAAGGCGTGCAACACGTCCATTTGTGTAAGCAGCAGCAATGATGTGCCGCAAAGAAATCCCAGCAACGGATCGCTGAATCAAAACTCTATAGCAGATCTAGAAAAGAAATTGGCAGCGTTGCGGAACACTGACAATGCAGAAGAGGTAAGAGAGACCGCACAGTTTTGAATAAATAATTGGCTTCATACTTTTGTGACACTTTGAATTAATATTTACAGCCACAGCAGCCACAAACTGCAACATTGACGGCGGTACCAAAGCCAGTTGCTGATGAGGCAGTAGCAACACACCCAAGTTCCCGTAAAGTGTCCCGGTTTAGTGTCAGTCGAGTACAAGAGCAGAAAACTTTAGCTGCCGCTGAGGAAAGTTTGCAGAATCAACTAAAGATCGATTTGTCGTCGGCTTTGGGCCCTGGTGGGCAGGGCCAGCTGCAAAATAATGCCACAAATAGCTCTGTGCAAAACGGCAGTATGGTGAATACACCCACAGAACTTATTAGCTCGCCCATACAAAATGTTCCGCTGGCCATTAACGGAATTCAGTTGATTTACCAACAGCAGCCACAGCAGCAGATGCATCCTTCTGCGAAAAGTATGGTTAACAGCGGCGTGAACGTAGTGCCACAAGTCTTGACACAAAACGGCACACAAGTGACGCTCTCCGGCATTCAGTCACAAGGTCATCCCCCACAGCAGCAGCAGCAACAACTTGTGCATCCTAATATGCCACAACAGACACCATCCAGTGTCCATCCTCAGATGATGAACACTCTTCAGCAGCAGTCGGTGGCGCATCAGCAACCAATTATGACACAACAGCAACCAATGATACTGCAACAGCAGGGTTCCCAACAGTTCTCGCTGCCTGCAACGCAACAAAATCATGCACCGCAACAGTTCATCCAAATGCAGCAGAATCAGCTTCATGCCCTACAGCCTCAGGTTGTGGGCATGTCTCCGGGAATGCAGCAACAGCTTTCGGCCATGCAGTCAATGCAGTCAGCCCAGCACCAGATGGTAACACAACAGCAACAGCAACAGCAGCAACAGCAGCAGCAGCAGCAGCTGCAAATGCAAACTCATATGCAGCAGCCGCAACAGAATGTTGCAGGCTTGTATAATCAGCAGAATGCTAATTGCGGAGCGACACAACAAGGCTTTCATGCTGGTGTTCCCAATCATCTGTTGCAGCAGGCGAATTTGATGGGATCACAGCAACCCTCGCAGCCGTTGCAACATGTTATGCAGCCGCTTTTTAATGTATCGCCCGGTGAAGGTAAGCGTAAGCCCCCAAACCTCATTTGTATTTTGATACATTCTGTTATTTATTTGTTCCGTATTCCAGTTACCGAAGAGCCTGTTTCTCTAGCTGCAACGCATCCCCATTTATTGCCGAGCGATATACAATCTGTAAGAGCCACGTAGTGCGGCGTTTTACTGAGACGTTACTAATTTACATTTCTTGCAGGATATAAAGCATAATTTGGACTCATTGGTCAACCAATTGTGTAACACACGCTTGGGCACCAATCAACATCAGCGGCTGTTGCTGTTACGCCAGAGACAGCTCATCGAAGAGGACGAACTGCGTTTGAAACACTATGTGGAATACGAAAAATTTCAAAAATCTCTGCGCCAATGTAAGAATTATTTATGACGTGTGTGTGTGTCAACATTTTAACCGAAAATGGATCTACTCTACCTCTATATTGGTTACAGCTTTAAGCACAAACGTTCCAGCTACTACGACATACTTTTCAGCACCTCCTGCTGCACAGCTTCCAACTAATTTAAAAGCACCTGCTCCTCCGCCCTCAGCAAATCCGACATCCACAAGTTCTGCAAACACATAGCTGCGCTAAAATGTTTTGCTTCATTCATTCGCCTTTGACAAGCCATCACGACTAACAGCCATTTCTATGTTCTCGGCAATATAATTGGCACGAGTGTTTGTATGTGTGAGAAGGTGGATCTGGCCTGGCCCTAGCCCTGGCGGTAGAAATTAAGTAAAAAGTATATCTTATGGGATTGTCTGTAAATATTAGTCAAACGCTTTTAGTTGATATGCCATTGTTTCATATTTTCTTTCTTTCTGTACCACTTTTAATTTGATTTCACTTCTTTTGTTCTTTTGGTTTCTTCCTTTTTATTGTTTAAATAAATTAAGAAAATTGTACATTTTATTAGTAATCAAGTGTAAATAAACATTTCGATAATGTAATAATATTAGCAATGCATATAGAAAATATTATACATTTTAGTCGTCATTTATTCAAACTGATGTATACATACTATACTGCATAGTTACTAAATAAATAACTTATTACAGAATATGTAGTTTCACTTCATTACAACAGAAGTCGTAGGTCAAGTAGTTATATATTTGGCTCTGAGTCGGGATAACGAAACGATGGTGAAGGACGGGTCTATACGTGGGACGTGGGCCCCGAAGCACTGGTTGGGATAGGGCGAGCAGAGCTTGATGGATACAAAGGTCCAGAAACAACTTGTAATAAGGCTGAAATATTGCAATAAATGCGCTCTAAAAGCTGCAACCGCAAAAATCGGAAAACTATACCATAAAGGATCCGTGGAACTTTTTGCTTATAATATAATTTAACAGAGTTGGAAAAGTATAGTGAGTGAATCCTACTTGCAAACAAGTGAAATCTCGTTATCCGATCATGCAAGTGCGGAATTCTATACTGAGAGTGGAAAAAAGAGGTCTCGTGACCATGAAAAGCCATATGGACCAGGCTGTAGTCACAATATGTACATGTATTAAATGTGTGCGTTCGTAAATGCGTCCTTTTCATGGTTGCAGGCTTCTAGGTCAAACAAAATATCCTTTGTAAAGGTACAGAATTTGTTAAGGTAAAGTGCAAGTCGTATTCAATGATATAAGATGTAAGACCTTGGAATTTTCGCATACTGTGATAATACCTTTATTGTATGATTTGAACGAAATTAATCATAAAGAATGCAAGAACAGAAAATGTAATAACAAAACATGTGTGAAATAATTATTTTACACAGCGACATCCATTGTGTCTTTGATCTCGTTTCCCCATTCGCGGGCCATAATCATGATTTCATTCATGCTCAATTTGGGGCCAATCAGAGGGTTCAGCTGCGTCATGTAACAGCACAGCCAACTGCAATGTCAATTAATGATGTAGCAAAACATTAAAATTTAGCAGATCGATGGATTACGCGTATGTTAACGTTACTTTGAGCATACTAGGGCTAAAAATACTTACAACAGCCAACATGTTACTGCGGTTAGCATAAGGCAGCATTGAGTCACTCTGAAAACATATATGTTGGTTACTTTGTTTGATATAGTTTATGTTAAGACTTACCCTTTGTTTGGGCCACGAGCAAAGAAGGGGCAGATGATGCCAATGAATCCCCAAATGCAGGTGATAACCACGGGAGGCACATAATCAGGAACAGTCATTTTGAAGACTAGGCTATTTAGTCGAATGGAATGGAAATAATAAAAAAGGCACAAAACTCCGATCGCGAAAGATTTTCTCGAGCAATGAATATCACATGACAGACATGGGACCCAAAACAGCTGGTGCAGGCGTTGCCACTCTGTTCGCTTAAGTCGTAGTGTAGCCACATAATTCTCACTTCATTTAATTCACAATGGACTTATTCCACTGCACTACACGATGAGCTTATAATTGAGCTTATAAGAAGAGCATTGCGATTTTTTCAATTTTTCTTTCGGCCAATGAAAATTGTCAAAAATGCATTCTTAGAGTCTCAAAAGTTGCGTCATATAAAATTTATGAAATAGGGTACACAAATGGCAATACTTCGAACCAGCAACATGTCTTCAAATACCAGCAACATTGACTAGACAGCTTTTTTTGTTGAAAATTTTTGCTTAAACCGTATTTTAGTCAAAATACAATACATGCGATTACTTAAAAGTCATTAATCTTGTAGAAAATGTATTCATCAATAGAATAAAACTATGTGTACATGGCTCAGGGTTTTAGTAAGCCAGCATTATTCAACGGAATATCAAAATTGAACAATAGGAACGACGATCCTCTTTCGTTTTTTTTTGTTTGACCATTTTCGCTAAAACTTTTTTTTACGAAGAATGCAATAAAAACAGGTATTTCAAACAAACCAGTCAAGTAGAAAATAGGTTCATAAATTTGATAATATTATTTGTTCAGGTATGAAAGTCCTAGTAATATTAAATCGAATATTAAAATGGAGGAATATGGTTTTCAATCCTTGACGGAGAAAGATTAACCCATTGTAGACCAAGGGAGTATTTTAGTATTCCACCGAAAATAATGAAAATTTAATAATTTTAGCGCAGTTCAGGTGAAAGATATCGGGGTTTTTTTAAGTTCAGAGAAAATATAGCAAGGCAAGGAGCTACAAGAAGAATTTACAATCAGTAATATTTTCCGCCATTCACCTCAAGTCGTTGAACTGCTTAAATAGAGGGGGTTAGGTGGGCTAAGTTCGATTTCTTATCGATATACTTCACACTAGAAACATAAATTGATTTTCGGCCGAGGTTTTGAACAAAATAATAAATAAATATGTTCCAAAATAGTGCTGCTCGTCTTTTGGTTCCGGCCATCCGTAATGCCATGCAGAGCCGATGCCAATCCGTGGTTTCCGGCCCACCAACACAGCATATCTCAAAGGCTGTAAGTATTCGCACTTGGTTGCATAACCAGATGTCTGGTAAAGAAAATGTACGATATAAATAATGTGTTTCCTTGCAGGAGAAAGTGATTCTAGGCGGTGGCATGTGCGCAGCGGCCCTGTTTATTCCTGGCTGGGTTCTATATCACATTCGTGATTACAAGGGCGGAAAGTAATTCGATGATCTAATATTATGATTCCTTTCCTTGAAAAGTATCAATTTAGTAATGGTGCTCCTATGCCACATGAATAAAGGAAAATAGATTGAATTTAACCATGAATTTTTAATATGCTACAGATATGTGTCAGAATAGTGTTTTAACTTATTCCCGAATCGCAACGTATGCTGATTAAGTCAAGCTATGTTTTTCCTATAGTGAACCCGTCGCCGATATTTCTTCAATCCAGACGAGACAGCAAAGGGAAAAAGTGTTGACCGTTGTTTCCGAGCTATGCTTTAATCTGATCTTGACGCTCTCACTAATTGGTGTTTAATAAAACTTGTTCCTCTTAAAATTGCTTTCTTTAAACGTCTGTAACGACTTGTGTATTATATTTTTAACTAATTGATGCTTTAATTCCCACATCTGCAAAGGATTTCTTGGGTTTATCAAAATATTGTCTAAGGAATTCACTGATTCCTATACCACAAAACTAATTTATGTTCCTCTTATCCGCACTACCTTAAATTGCAAGATAAGCTTGAGTCTGTACAAAAACAATTTCTTATCTTTGCCCCCCCGTGGAAATCATCCTTCTTGCGAAAGTCGGCTGCACCTTTTAAAAGCCGAAGGATTTGCCATGGAATTTGTTTTCTCCACAAACTTCTCTCTGGTGAGGTTGAATCCAGTGCCCCCATCAGTCTTGCTCGTATGTATCTCTGTCCCGTTCCCTCCGACTAGGCATCACTTTCATTTTCATCTTCAACACTGTCTTTCTAACTATATACTCTGATAAAGAATACTTCCGTAGACTTTGCCATAATTACAAAACTTTCTTCTATTTGGTTTCCTTTGGCACTAGTGCTATTAAGGTAACAACTTTTTTAATGAATAGTTTAATTTAATTTACTATAATTCTTAAATTGTTAGTCTATTGGCTATGATGGCTATGAATATGACCATAGCGACTATTTTGCCAATAAATCAGTACCAAAGGAACAGAGTATTTGCCATAGAAAGTCTTGTATTTGTTTTTATTTTTGTGCTGAGCAACAAAAAACTATTTAATGTCGTCTAATTGGCTGTACATTTAATTTGATCAAGCAATTAATTTGCTTTTAAGCTATCAACCATCAACACAAGGAGGCGCTCTCCGCAAAAGTGCTTTAAACTATTGCCACAGGATTGGAACTTATACCAATTGGACAATAATATTATATCGATGAAGGTAATTCAGAAATAGCAGATTTTTGGTCCGCAAACCCAATACTTGCAGTCACAATGGGAACTTCTTCTACTTATTGTGTGTTTAAGTATGTAAATATATTTTCACTTCGCTTTTTTCAATTTAACAAGCTTTCGAATGATTTTTTTAATGGGCAAAGAAACTTATAAAATTTAATTGTGCTTATGAAATGGTGTGTTTTATTTCTTTTGGTTATCCTTTTCATCATTTTTTTTGTCCTTGTCTTTGTTCAGTGAGCCAACAGCATCGCGCACTGCTTCGGATTGGGGATCTACCCCAGGAAGATTCTCTAGCACACTCTGCAAGAAGGCCGGGTCGCCAATTACCTCCGAATAGTCCTCGTCGACATCCATAGGAGCATTGGTTTCATCAGTTTTTGGGCGCTTTGCTTGCTGGGTAACGCTATCATCTGGAGCATCTTGCATGGACATTTGCATGGCAAAGGCGATCTGTTCTTCTTCGGTCATGTTGGCAAAATCTGGCAAGTTATCTTCAGGGGTCTCAGTGGACAGTGCCAAGGCCCGTTGCAACATAGCTTCCTCCGAATTCGCCTCGGCGTTTCCTGCGCCGCTTTCAACTTTGGGCTGCCCCGCGGTAGCAGCAGCTTCGACACCAGCTGGTGCTGTGCTATCAGCATTAGCACGACGTTGCTCACTTTCCTGACGTTGACGTTGCTCCTCCATTGACACACGCAAAGCAAGAGCCAGTTCCGGGTCTTCGTTGGGATCAACTCCGAATTCGAACACGTTTCCTCCCAAGCCGGCACCACCCAATCCATCTTCTCCCTGAATAATGGGCGACGACATCAGAGCTTCAGACAGGGCCGATCCGCGAGGAACACTAACCAAGTGCGATCCAGTACCGTCTTTGCCGTTCAATGCGTTGATGAAAGCAGTCAGCGTCTCGTTGTTATTGCCATGATCGCCGAAGCTAACAATGTCAACATTCACCTTCTCTTTCTTCAGGCGTTTAGCTTGCTTCACAAGGTCTCCTTCTTCGTGACAAATGGGAGAGCCAACAAAGACGACAATACGCATCTTATGGTTTTTGCCTTGACGATGCTTCAACACCAAATGGGCTATGCGGATCCCGGTCAGAAGGTTTATCTCACCCTTTGGTTGGATGAGATGCATTTTAGACAAAATCCGCCCCACGTCGCTTGTCAGAGTAGCCAGCACTTCCACGGTACTAAATTAATAAATGAAACAATAAGGAGCGCTTTTCAAACCATCGGCCACGCAATACTCACTTCGACAACGTCATTAGTCCAACATTATTCTCTGGATTGGATCTCAGTTTAGTGAGGCAAACGAGATTGATTCCATCCTTTTGGACGTTCAGACGTGTAGGAAAATAGTCACCATTGCGTTGGTAATCGCTGTTATCAAAGCTGAAAATACAAACAGGGGTTTGGTTTCGTTAATCCGTCTTCTTTCTGCATATGGTTTATCAATGATTAAACATTATTTTACCATATCATAGTACTTTCAAGAACCATTTTCGTATTTTTGCTTGTCACTTTACCACTGAACTGTAATTGTGATACTTACAGTGTGACCGCGGACTTGTCAATAAAATATACCGTCCGACCCTCAGAAATATACCGAAATATACCGTCTGATTTAAAAAATATACCGTAAATATACTGACGGATTCAAGATATTAGTCGTTTTAGATCTTCCGTGGAATCTTACTAGCTAGATAACATCCTCAGCCGTGCCCACATATTTTTATACGATTAATAAACCAATTTTCTAATTGACTGGGTTATTTTAAACGCTTGCTTTAGTTGGATTTTGTCTAAAAAAGGTTTTCAGCGAAAAAGGTCAAACAAAAAGGTTTTAGCGAAATAGGTCAAGACAAAAAAACGAAAGGATAGTCGTTCATATTGCTCAATTTAGAGATTCCGTTAAATAATTCTGTTTAATTTAAACCCTTAGTTTTGCCCACATCATTTTAGGCCATTGATGAATCAATTTTCTACATAATTCGTTAGTTTTTAGACCTTGCTTTTATTGTATTTTGACTAAAACAAGGTTTAAACAAAATAGTCCAACAAAAAAAAAAAACAGTCGCAATTTTGCTGGTATTTTAGACATGATGCGCGCATATGCCTTGTTACCCTATTTCGATAATTTAGTATGAAGATATAACGAAATTTATAAAGACCTTTTCTCAAATTGATATGTTTTAGACATATTCATGTATATTATTAGTATATTGTGTATATTTATCTCGATCCTGATACCTACGGAGTCTGGGATGACAAACATTTTCTGAACTCTATAATATCCTTTCCCAGGGTATGCATTGTTGCTTGCATGTTGCCGCAACATGGATCGCGACTTTTGTTTTCGGCCAATGAAAATCGTAAAAAATGATTTGCAAAAAATGTTGCTGCAGCAATGATTGCATTTCGGCAAATCTCGATAAAAATTAAGGATTACAGTACTGCTGGGTAATAAAATATTTGTATTCTGCAAACAAGCAATCAGATTAAAAATTTTATTTTTGGGAAACAAGCTGGCGCGTACGTCTTTCGTACAAATGGTTTTTTAATAATTGTGTTTTCCTACTTTTAATCTCATAAACGTGTTGAACTAAATTTATTTGTAATAGTCTTATGACACTGGACTTTGCAAGCTTTGCTGCGAAGAAAGAGATAGCAATATCACAAAATTAGTGCTTGTAGCTGTAGCTGTAGCTGATGTTTTCCAACACACCAGCCAACCAGAAAAATTGGATATGAAAAGTGTAACAATCGCCCATTTCTGCCCGCAGCGCTGCTCCCAGCTCAACTGGAAAGCCTCGCATATATCGCTCTCACTGATTGCTTTACCCATAGGGTTCTCTCTGTTCTTGCAGCTAGCCAGTTGGCAAAGTCTAAAATTTCATAAGCTATAAACAAAACACATAAGTTATGTCGCTATTGACTGGTCACATTAAAGTTTGAAAAATAATAATATGAAAAATAGAACAACAACATAAAGAATTTCGGCGATAAAGATAACGCTAAATCCAATCATAAGGCTCATGATACCACCAGTTAAAGCTAAAAGGCGAATAATACGAATTTTATAGTTTAAAAATGAGAAGATATCTTTTTTGAAACCTACACATGTATTCAGTTGGTCCGGTGTACGAAGTCCTCACATTGCTTCTAAAATAATTTTCTGTGAAGTAGAAATTTACTACTGCCAAGTTTTTTCGGATATATTCATTTGATAAATTCTTTAAATAATCACTCTGGGCCTTCAGGTCCTGTTGGCTAAAAGGTGTTGTGAAAGCATCAGGAAAGAACGTAAGATCATGACAACTGGTTAGGCACAAATCTTTACATTCAGATCTTTTCTTGTCAAAGATCTGTAATTCCGCATTATTCCAGCAATCAAACTGAGCCGCATCACATACTGTAGCGTTAGCAAATACCAACGGCAGATAGTATGGAATACAATCACACAGTCGAAGGAAGAACAACGCATCGCATTCAGATTCGCAGTTGCGTCGCGTATAATAACGATAAAAGTAAAGTTCTTCTTCATCGCTAAAAATACATTGTCGTTTCGTTCGATGGATGTTACGAATGCTGGGCAGGGCTTCAAAGCTCCGCGCGATTATACGAAATGTTGTCTGATGCCCGATCATTGCTGGTAATCCAGATTCCTTCATACGTGGTTGATCGATTGGGTTATACAATAGCACCTTAAAACAATTGTATTATTAAAATGCTAATGGGTACAATCTTCAAATACACAACTTTGAATCCTTGTCCATTTGTAGAGGAACAAAAATAATCATTCACGTGACCATTGAGTATTATTTGTAAACCCATAGCAATGCCAACGCCAACTCCTGGCCGCGGGTAATAGCTGGACGGTAGTTTCGGTGGATAGCCAGATATAGGATTCCAATCCACTGCAATGTCTGCAAACCTATTCGTTGAGGTGTAGTCCCGAATGTATGTTGGCCTTTCAAATAAAATACTTTTTACACACGAACTTTTCTGCGCTGGGCTTCAAAAACGTACCTGAATTTGTATAAATAATATGGATGCAACAAATTGAATACACAGCACAAGCCCTCATCTACAAAGATTTCTCTGAAGATATCAGTGCATGGTAACTTTTTTTTATGAAACATGCATGACACTATCAAATCTTCGCATCTCTCAGAAACATTTAGTATAAAGTTGGGGAACGTTTCGTTTTTAGAACGATGATTCGATTTTGTAAAATTGCCATAAGTATTCTCTTTATAGCAAGTTTTCTGTAGCATGGAATATCCTAGCGATCCACTGAAATGATTTTTATTATTCCTCTTTCATATACATAGATATGAATATTGGGTTTACTTACGGTATTAAATCTTCTACTTTCGATTTCTTTGCCTGATTCATATTACAAACCGTTATTGCAGGGAATGGAATCTTACTAATTGGAGTCATAGTTGAACTAATTCCAATAATCACTGGCGTGTCTTCCCATTTAACAAAAACGCGAACCGCTAAGTTTACGGCCACATAAATAAGCGAAGCAAAAATTATTATAAAGTATAGCTTTATCCACCATAAATGTCTATCACCGATGACGTATTTTAACAACTCCAATGATGTATTTCTTAGAAATATTTGCTTTCGGTTTTGACCGTTCCTCCACAGTTTTTCTTTCATTCTACTCAGGAAACTCATGGTATTGACCCGATGGTTATTTTATTCTTGTTAATAGATTAGGGATAGTTGTTAGACTGTGGTGTGGCTCTCTCTTGTAAGACTCAAGTGTTTATATATGTATATTCATTAGTATTTACAAAAGCATTATCTATGAAGCTTTTCAATGTATTATCATTAAGTTTTTGTAATGAATCAAAGTAATAAAATCCTCATTATTGAACCATTCCAATTAGCCTAATTGTCTGAAATAACAAGTTCGTTTCATTCTGTACCTTAAACGGCAAATCCAAATGATTTTCAAATGTTCTGTTCAAAGGACTACGGGAAAGTGGAGCTATAAAAGGAATATCCGTTTTCACTGATAAAGGAATTGTATGAACCTCCAGTCACAAACATAATAAATAACCTGAATATCATTATGTTTATGCGTTCATCATCACATACAAATTTTAATAATATCCCTACAAGATATGTAACAATATAAACACTGTATAGTTTCGTGGTTATGAGCAAAGTATTGTTCGGTGATCGAATTGTATTTTTATTTTGTAATATTTATTTGTTTCATTACTGTTTTTTATTATAATGTTACAAATTTGTTATTATTTTTAATCTAATATAGGTACAACTTCAGCCAGATTGGTATTCTTTATTTTGTTTTGAACAATTTTAAAACGGGAAATGGCACAATTAGTATTTGATTAAAGGCTTGTTTCATAAATACCTTTAAGATATTATATTCATTATTTGTGAAAACGAACCTGCAATATGTGGATTTTTTGTTTTGTTTTTTTTTTTTGTAATACCTTAAAAATGTAAGCTAGCGATTTCAAAAGGTCTTTTGATTTACGAGTTTACACCGTCTATTTATGGTAATCTTTAAACTATTTCGAAAGTATAGAGAAAATATCACTGCAGGATACATGCATAGATGTATAAAAATATGTTTTAATATCATCGGAACAAACTGAAAATGTATTAACGTAAATAAGCAGCTATTAAATATCACTAAATCTACGGTTCATATTCAATCAGTTATAAGCCTGATGAGAAAACTATTTGTTCAACTTAACAAGAACATGTTGTACAGATCTGTTTTTTTATTTTGAGGATCTTAATTGTCAATTGAAATGTGTGTACAGAATATGCTTTCCAACTAATTATAATTCTTTACTTTGCTTGGTATTATTGAACAACTTGATACAATTGATTAATCTGCTGAACTTTCCAACCAATATCTAACCAAAAATTCTATTTGGAAAAAAGAGGCTCTAAAGAAATACTACAATAATATAGGAATCGAATCATACATATGTAGGATTGTTTGTTTTTGTCTCCTTTTTTTTGAGATATCAAGAATTTTTCAAGCTGATTTGTACATTTTGTTTTGAGGGGTTGGGGTTAACAATCAAATGCCTGCTTTAAAAATATATATTACCAATTATTCATATAACATTCATAATTTGTAACTGTCACGGATGAGTCGCATAGAAATATGTTCCCAGTCATATAATCCTATAATATGTATTGATCTTTTAATAGAAATAAATGATTATCGTTTTTTTGTTTTGTTTGCTTGTAGTTTTAAATGTTGAACATGTGTGGTTTATATGGTAATTTCCTTATTTCATTTAATTTCTGTGTACAGTAACATATTTATCATTAAAAACAAAACATTTTAAAGAGGTACATTTCGAAAGTATAGGCTTAAAATCATATTACAGTAAATATACATACAATAATTATAGCTCTTTGTGTCAGGGTATTACGGGGAACTTGTTGAAAAACGTTTAGAAATATACTGAATTACAGGTATGCAACAGTAATACTTTAACACAAAATTATAATCATAACAGCAACAAAAATGTATTGATTATTGATTGACAAAAAGGTATGGTGTGGTATGGTATGTATGTAGTTATGATAACACTATATCGGCACAACATCAGAAATTTAAGTTTTTCTATTACCGGATAACGCATACCGCATGCAATATGCATTTTATATTATTATGTTTGTTATGTTTTCTATGTGCGTTTTACTTAGTTATCGCTTTTTAACTTCAAAAAAAATGAGTGGAAACCCGATTAAAGAATGTTTGTATTTTGTTATCTTTACAATTCAGTCTGAAAGGCATAGTTTGTTTACACATTTGATATCACCTATTTTGAAAAATCTATTTGTTTACTTATTTTATTATCTCTAAAATTGTGTATACATAGGTAATGATATATCATTGATCTTTAAGGTTTAATGGTAACCACTTATTGGATGGTATTAAATATAATTTAATTTAATACAAGTACGGAAAAGTTGCTGAAAATTTCGTTGCGTTAAGTGGAGAATAAATATTTTATATAAACCTAAATTTTGGTACCCAAATACATGTATGTGTGTTGGTTTAAATTTTGCCTTCGATATTTGGTTCTGTATCATTTATATGTATATATCGCTAGAATATTGATTAGGTTATATCTGGGACTGTATATCGAACATTTTGTTTCGTTGCGGGTCTACAATTGCTGCACTTTTTGTTTTGTGTTTTTTCTTCTTCTTCGTTAGATGCTTACTCATCATCGGAGACATCTGAAGATTCACTTATATCACTTGAAAATATCTCCAGCCAATGATAATCACGTCTATCAACGTAGTCCCACAGATAAATCTATTATATTTGATAAGTATTTAATATATTGATCAGTATAGTCATTTATATAAAGCAAAAGGATATATGATACTCACATCGAGTAAATCGATTATTTCATGTTGGCCTTGTAACTTTCGAGTACGCTTTGGTAAGCCCACATCAACGATATCCCCATTGGGCAGGGCATGTTTATAAAAGCACTTGTTTCCAAAGGGACACTTTCCCTCGCCTTTCTGAAAGTATTTACAATCTTTGGCTCCCAAGGCAGCGCGATAATCATTGAGAAGCTTATCCTTTTCCTCCTTTGTCTCCACCCAAAACGCACTGGGGCAGACAAAGTCTGAACATACGCGACATTCGGGGCAAGCACTAAAATGAAGCGTAGCGTTAATTTTGTATGTAATATACATACATTCGAATACAAGCAAGAATTCTATAGTCGAAATCTCCATTCAATACATATAGGTAGACCCAATTTTCAATCAATTATCATTTTACTCACCGCGTTATTTTATGCTCAAACTGTTTGGCCTGGCGCCATTTACGAATGCATTCCAAACAAAAGATATGGTTGCAGTTAGGCAGGATGCCAAATCTTTTCTCCCGGCCAGCCTTCTCCATGATTGTGTCGAAGCATATGCCGCAGGCCTTATCCTTAGAGCGAGCGATCGCAAAGGAAAGTTCCATGGCCTGTTCGTGCTGTTGCAAGCACTCCCGGTTGTGATTTTTACGTTGAGCTTGATCCGTGGGATGCAGGCAATACTGGTCACACATTTCGCATAGCTCCATGTGTATACGATAGGGGCAATACTCGCCATAAGGACACGGACATTCATAGGGACAAACCTCGTCCAATGATGCGGGTTCGCAACAGCTCACGTCGACTGTCGGGCCACCAACTACTTCGGCCCAGGAGATTCCGTTTTGTAGAGATACGCTGCCAGAAGCTGCCTCCCCATCCTCGTTCTGTTCCAGCACGCGCTTCTGGCTAGGCACAAATATCGGGGCATTTGCCCAATTACGTTGGCTGGTGCTTGGCTTAATGCTCTCAGCATTATCTGTAGTTATATGCGTTTGCTCCGCACACTCGGGACGGCCGCGACTTAAATCATGAGAGAAACGGCACAGCTCGCCAAAACGGCAAATGCCGCGCAGATAAAATCGGCATATCGTTTGACTTCGCCCAAGTGCCATGTTGGGAATGGCTGGATCGCTGTTGGCGACGGCACTCATTTTACTCTGTACTTTTAACAATTGCAAAAGGGTTTGATATTTCAAATTTGACAATTCTCAACGATGACCTAAAAATAAAAGCATTATATAAAAACTGTAAACTCCGTTCGTCTCGTACGAAGTTAAAACATTCACATAATGACACAATACATGCATAGAAATGTGCATGAAAGCACAAATACAATTAATCATGTGCTTGCATCTTTTATACATATGTGCATGTGCGTGCAAGCATGCATACATATAGGCATTTGACTGTATTGATGAAATGATGCGCACAACTGGGTAGCACGCTAGTTGACAGATATTAACGTAAAAAGTCAATAAACGTTAATTGCACATATCCATGAACATAAAAATGTAATTTTCTGAACGTAGATCGCTTTGCATCATTATTATTCGATGAAACTATGTGTGTACTACTATGTGTAGGCACATTCGTATAGGCGTAACTAATGCCTGTTGTTTCAGATACATGGTTTGTATATAAAATACCAACGTCTGTTTTAACCATGACAGTTAATTTAACCTTTCCACTAAGCTTAGACTTATTTAACGCCAAAAACACTTACAATTGTTTAACTTTGTCGTTTTATGCGCACCTTGAAATACAATCACAATCAGTGTGACCGCGGACTTATCGATAAAATATACCGTCCGACCCTCAGAAATATACCGAAACATACCATCTCATTTAAAAAATATATTTTAGATATACTGATGAATTCAAGTTCTATTTTACATATTCCTCGATTTTGATCTTCCGTCGAATATTCTCAGCTATATAAAACATTTAGCCATGCCAACCTAATTTTATCCGATTAATGAATCTATTTTCTAATTGACTGGCTTAATTTAAACACTTGCTTTTATTGGATTTCTATATAACGTTGCGCACCTGGAAATACAATCACAATTTTTTCATTGCTGTTTTAGTGTGACCAAATGCACCGACACAATTTCTTTGAACTCTTGTATTAGGGGTATATCCAAAAGAGACTTATAAATCGTTCATTTTGTAAACAGTTTCTATGACTATTTCGGTTTTCACTTATTTTTGCGGATTACGTTTTCAACCAAAACGATTAGTTTTCATTTTTATGTGCTCCCTTTCTCACAAGTTATTTGTATCGATATAACAAAAACAAGTGACCTTTCAAAATATACAGCGTGTTAAAAATGGCTTTATATTTTTCAGTTGCTGATTTTCTAGTTGCAACGCCTGTTTATTTAACAAGCTGCGTGTAACAGCATGCAAATTGAAAATTAAATTGCTGATGGTCGAACAATTAACTTAAAGAAAATGTGGTGCGAAATAGCTGTCTCCACCCTGCTGTTCTGTTACGAGAACAGTCTGTGCTATTATGCGCGAAAAGGTATTTCTTGCCAACGTTCCGATAGCCAAATTGGTTTATAATTTTGTATACATTTCTAAGAAATCCAGGACGCCCTCTTCCTGCAATTCGCAAATTTTTACCGCAGTTGGCTATACAAAAAAGACAGATCTGCAGGAAAACCCCGAAATCGGCAGCCCTTATTTTATAAGCAATAAATAAAGATAAAAACTTAAATTTAACCAATCAACTAGAAAATAGATTCATTAATTGGATAAAACTACGTGGACAGGGCTGAGAGATCTATCCAGCTAGTAATATTCGACAGCATACAAAAACGAGGAACTTGAATAATTCGTCAATACGGTAGATGGTATATTTTGGTATATTTCTGAGGGTCGGACCGTGTATGTTTTATGCATAATCCGCGGTCACTCTGCATAGTGTAATAATAACATGTCAAAACAACAACAAACAAAAACAACAAACGGATTTTTTAGTGTAAGAGAAAAGGATTTTACTTTTACTTGAGTTCCCTAGTAATTTTTGTTCTTTATAGCCCTTGGATGCTGCTACTGCTGCTTTGTTTGCGACAGTGGCTACAAAACGCGAAACATAAATTGATACCAATTTCAAAAATAATATGATTGGAGGAAAAAACTCGGTGTGCGTAAACTGTGGACACAGAGTGCGAGAACTATATAAAAAATATAGCAACACTCTAAAAACTACGAATTGCGTAAGAAAAAAAAATCTGATCGAGCATGCATTTGTTTTGTTTGGGGTTTGGTTTTTAACCCTTACTCGTAGATTAGAATGGTACATTGTACATATCAACAACCAAGAAAGCTTAAACGGCATATACTTTGTTTTGATCAACTGTCGTGAGCCGCAGTTTTATTATCTCCGAGATCTAGAGTGTACATTTATACCAAATGTCTAAAAATCAGACTAGTGTCTTTTGAAATTGGGGAAGCTTTCGTCTTTTTGCAAATTACATATAATTTTTATGATCACTTCCACAGGAGAAATGCCATCAGGTCACAGACAAATATATCGAGTTTGAGGAATTTATCATCCTAATAGATGCGCTTCTTTTGGATTCGTCTGCATTCCGCCATATAATATATAATGGCGACTTTAAGGTGAGGTTCTACGGAGCTACAAGAATCTGATCTTTTATTTAACATTTCCCAATCTTTGCGGTCCTAGTTATATTGGAAGGTTTCACTGGTGGTGTTGCTCTTGGAGTCGTTTGCACTATGCCGGCAGAAGCTTAGCGATCCCGCCAATGATGCCTTAAACGTCCACGAAAAAGGTTTCTACACATACACACTGCATCACATAGGTGGTAAGAAATGGGAAATGGTTTAAATATTCAAGACTACATAGTTTAATCAAAATATATATTTTACAGACTACTTGCTTATAACCTTCTTTCTACTGCTAATTACGGCAGCACTTGGCATTGATCAGATAAAGAAAGTGGGTGTTCGAAATTTCACCTTAACTATTATCAAGGTTGTTGTCATTTCCAACTTATCCAAGTTTTTCCTGCTCCCCATATTGGTTTGGCGCAATAACACGACAGTGTTTGGACGTAGCATACACTATGCACTGGTCATGAGCCATCATATCTGTTCGCTGGTCCTTGCGTACGAGGCAGTCGGATATATCAAGAGTCGGCTTCGATGGCTGGCCATTACATTAGTAGTCCTTGCATTTGTCCTAAAGGAATACATCAGACATTATGCCGCATTCCAACTGGAGTTACATTAACGTAAGAATTAGCTATATATTACGCTCTGTTATTTATTTGTAGTACAAATTTTAACCAAAAACACTGTATAACCTTCCCGAGGGGTTTTAACCTTTGTGCCTCAAGTATTTTGTATCAAGTTTTGGGGCGCATACATCCATGTACGATAATAAATAGCTAAGTAGGTTATTCATTTATGATTATTCATAAGTTAGTGTTTTCCAACCTTAATAGTCCATGTGTCGGAAGTTCCTCGACTCGAGTTGGAATACTGTCCATACAGTACATCATAGTATATGTTTCTCTGCATGGAATCATAATGGGAGATAACATTTAGTAATCTTAGACACAAAGCTTCCTCTTCTGGGGAACTGAACATCAAATTGCTGTCTCTAGAGCACGTCCATGCTCCCACATGATGCTAGGCTAACCCATACTAAAATATTACCTTGTGGCCAGTCTTTTACGAAAAGACCTGAAACTGTAGGCGAAAATCGAATAGAATTAGACGAAAACGTCTTTTTGGGGTATGTTACCCTCTGAATTGACATACGACACAGTTGTCAGTTGGACGAAAAGAAAGCAAGGAGTATATCATTATATTATAATTGCTGCAAGTAAAATTCCACTGTTAAAAACATATATAGAACTATTTTTATTGTTTTGGGGGAGGGTATGTAAGTTATTTCAAATACGTCAAATCGTTTTACATACTAAATGTTGGAGAAACTGCGTTAAAATATTATATCAATCAAGTGACGAATGAAGATAAAACAGAGTGGAGGTTGACCACTTTCATGAGTTAAATTAAGAAGCTAAAGTACAATTGATAATAAAAGTCAGAAAAAGAATAATTTGCATTTGTTAATATCGGTATAAAAGACGCATCCGAGAACGAATTGTTGATTGGTTTTGTTGTTTGTTTATATGTTCGTATGAATGTACTTAAGTAAGTCATTAATGCTAATCGTAAGTCATGCTGCTCATACATTTTGTTGTAATGGCAGTTTGTAGCAACGACGACACTGACGCGCAATTGGGGGCAGGACAAACTTTGCATTTATATCGAAATTAGAGCGTAATATTACTAGGTCAGCATCCAATATCTAATCATCTCTAACCATATATCTCCTAAGTCATATTCCACGATGACGAGGACGAGCTTGAGGAGCAATCGTCGCTCTCTGTCGTGGCGTTGCTTCCATTCGGCTTTGGTCCCCAAATGCGAACGGTGGCATCGTCACTGGCACTAGCCAGCAATGACGGATAAACGGGGTTCCACGACACACAGTTCACCGTCTTCGTGTGGCCAGCCAGCTTGGCCAGGGGTTCTTCGCGCTTAATGTGCCAAATATATACGACCTTATCCTCACTACCGCTGGCCACGAAGCTCTCATTGATACCGCCGAAACACGAATGGATGGCAAAATTACTCTGGCGTATACCCTGGAATCGTCGCACGAGACATTTGTCCTCAATGTCCCAAAGATGAAGGCCTTGATTGGAGACATTCAACAACGCCAAGCGATCGGCAGAGTTGATGCTAAAAGTCATAATCGGATGCGGCTCTCTCAGTATATCAAAGTCTGAGCGTGGGCTATCAAAGTTGTAGCTACAATGAAAAATCATTGATGTTAATTCGTTTATGTAAAATGCTGTTGGGACTCACCCTCTGATGCGATAATGATTATCGGCCGCCAATATTGTTTTATTGTCAGCTCGAAAGGCAATGCTGTTGACCCGAACTCCCTCCCAGGAGTCGACAATGGTGCCATTTAGATCGCATAGGTAGAGCTGACCCTTTTGGCCGCCACAAACGAAGCGGGTGCCATCGCGACTGAAGGCACCGCAGGCGAGGCTGTCCTCCAGTGATTGGGAGAACTTGACAAACAGCTTACCGTCCTCCACGTTCCAGATGTAAAGCTCATGGGAGTCCTCGGTGCCACCCACCAGAATGAGCTTGGAGTCGGGACTCCAGCTGACAAAGCTGACGCTCAGCTGCGCCTGCCCGTCCAGGACGCGACGATGCTTGAGCGTGAGTTTGTACGGGTCTACGTCCCAAATAATCACAGTGGAGTCCTTGCTGCCAGTAGCTAATTTAAGGCCATCGGGAGAGAATTTACAGAACCAAACTTCGTCGCAATGGTCAGTCAGAATTTGTATTGTCTGCATGGGGAATCCATCTGTGGTGCAACAGTGGTCGGTGAGCAACGAAACCGTTTGCAAATTAGTCTCCCACGCCATGTCGTGACAGGGGCAGTGTTGGCTTTGTAATTCTATTGCCTGCTGAAGTAGGGTGCGCAGACGGCGCGGCGACATCATCACCGAAGGCGGCATGAACGTTTGCAGGCGCTCCATGACAAGCGCCCGAGACAAGATACCCTTGCCCTCCCACTTGGCTCGCTGATAGAGGTCCTGATTGGTGGAGCACATCATATACGAAGACAGCTGATGCACACGCGATATGTTGTGCTGCAATGGGGTCAACTCGCTGCGCAGCACGTGCAGTGCGTCCAGCGGATTGGCATCATCCAAATGCTCTAAATACTTTTGCTCTAGTAATATGAATTTCATTTCAGTTATTGTTGATAGTTTCCCATTATCAATCAGTGGCTCCAAGTCCTGCAAAAGAGTATACAAAAGAAATAAATGAACAAAGCACTTTGAAGCCCACGTTTCAGATCGTTCGTTACCTTGAGGTCTAGATCTGCTTTGACCCAATCCCCCATTAACACATGCTCCCTGAACTTGGTCGCCGATGGGTGCTCCAAGTAGCAGCCAGACTCTACCATCAGTGTCTTGACGGACTTATCGAGACCTACGTCGTGCAGATACTGGCCAATGAGGCGTATGATCTCCTGATTTGACTTGTCCAACTGAACAGCCCGGTAGCTGGTGTTGTTGTCCCGATTGTTCTCCCCATCTACGATGCAGCTGCCATTGTTATTGACAGCAAATCCGTTTTGTTTGGCATCGTGACCGTTTCTGGTGCTGCTGCCGGATGGATGCTCGTCAGCGGGTGCGGGATTATCATCGCCACCTCCACCACCGCCAGTCGTATCACGGCTAACATTCTCTGCACTGCCGCCGCCGGAATTTAGCGTCGAAACATCTGCTGTAGCCCTTGTACTGGAGCCGGTCGCTGTAGAAGATGTGTTCTGCATAATCGATCCAGAATTGTTGCACTCGTTGCTGTGCGATTTGCTTGTGTTGCTGCCGCTGCTGCTGCTGGTGCTGGTACTGGCTTTTGTTTTCTTGCTGCTACCGCTGCTGCTGGTGTTACCGACTGGGGGCGTTAGGGATGAAGATTGTTGCACTCTGCTAGCCGATGCTGATGTCTCCGAGCTGTTATCACTGATCTGTGGTGAGTCGTTGTTGCCCGTGATTGATGTGCTTGAACCTGCCAAATTCGAGTTTAATTGTGTTTGTGGTTGTTGTTGCTGTTGTAACAGAAGGGCCGCTCTCGATGTGGATGCCGCATCTATTGGCGGCACTGTAGCTGTAGTGGTGGTGTCCAAAACGACAGAAACTGATGTTGAAGCTGATGAGGCTCCTGAACGACGACCCTTTTTGCGCGGCGGCTGGTCCTCGGATGAGGCACCAGTTGCAGCAACCTTTTTGGTGTTTCTATCAATTTTGAGTACTTTTAGGAACCGCACAGCAACAAGAGAAACTTGTCGCCTTCTGGCGGATCTCAGATTTTCCAGCCGTAACACGTCTGTCTGTCACTCTCTTTCCCCGATTCGAGGGCGCTGACTGATATGCCCTGCCTGAAGGCCTTTGTTTATTTAATTTCGTGCAGTAGTAGTATATCTGCCTCGATTACGGTTCTGTTTCTGGCAATTGATTGCACTCGCTGATAACAGTTTCAAGTTGTTCAACTGCAATCGACATACTGCGAAGGGAAAGCGCAAAAAGAAATCAAAAATCAACAATGAGAGAGACAATTCATGAATTAGAGGCATCACTGGAATGTACACGAATCTATATTTTCTGTAGTGGGATTCGACTTGGGATTAACTTTGTTTGAGTTACGTAAAATTTTGATACGTTTTCTTAGATTATCTGTTGTTCTTCGCACAAAGAATTCACTTCCTTCATATTGTAGCTAAATGTAAACGTACCCCGCCGATCCGATTCTACCCAGATAGGAACGAAGACTAGATATGGCCAGTCTTTGTTTATACTCGCGTATAGCTTTTAATCAGACAAAAGTATTGGTTATATGATGAACATCCTGTATAGTATGAAAATAATTTTTAATTGCGAGATGTCATGACTTTATATAAAAGTTTGATGGCTCATATGCGCTTTACATTTACATATACCGCATTTAGAACTTTCCAAAACTCCAACGAATTTACCATTGTCAGATTTTCATCTATGTACATATGTATGTACGTAGAGATGTACATAACACTGTATATTATTTTTTTACACACAGCTGTATTCATTCATGTATGTATGTACTTGCATATGTAGGTTCCTAGAGTTATAGATGCATGTACATATTTATAGGGCCAGATGCCAGATTAAGACTCGTGGAATTGAATCTTACAGAGTACTTACACTCTTCTATTTCACTACATTAAACTATGCGTAGAGATGTACAGACATACATATGTACATATATACATCCATACGTACGTATTCATGTGAATATGCACGCATTTACATCCCCAGAAATGCACTTGCGTGTGTATATGTTTATACGACCATATGTATGCATGGGCTTATATTAATCAACTCTGCTTTGTTTTCCTTTACATCTGTGTGTATTTATGTACATTCAAGTGTTAGTGTTCATAGTCAAAATGAACCTATTATCAAAAAAAAAACAAAAAAACCCCCACGAGCATGTTGGTGTCTGCTTTGTTATGGGTTTTCCAACACATTTTCACTTGCATTTCTCTTTTGGACAAAGTGCATCGTAATATATAGGCATACACATACATACATACACACATTGTTTATGGTCCTTTGCGACGATATTAAATAGGTTACACTCTATTAAACTATTTGGCATGATAGCCCAAAACTATTTATGAACGTATGAGCTCTCAATTAAAAAACTAAGACGAATTGACACAATATACATACAAATTTGATGATGAAACGCACTTAGCTGCTTATATATTTCGACCAGTGTGACCGCGGACTTAACGATAAAATGTACGGTCCGACCCTCAGAAATACAACAAAATAAATCGTATCATTTTCAAAATATACCGTAAATATACTGACGAATTCAAGTTCTATTATATATATTACTCGATTTTGATATTCAGCGGAATATTACTAGCTAGATAGATTTCTCAGCCCTGCCCACATAATTTTATCCGATTAATGAATCAATTTTCTACTTGATTGGCTTATTTTAAACACTTGCTTTAATTGGATTTATACATAAGGTTGTAAATGAAATTTAATAGATTGATGATATTTACAAAATATACCATTATATGCCGATATATCATCGGTTCCATTTTAACCTCAGAAAATACCGAAAATGTCTTAAATACATTTAATACTAGATGAGCCGAAGAGAGTAGACATTAGCGTTATCCCTGTAAATGTGCTTGATTTGCTTTTTCTGAAAAATTTAATTCTGCAACAGAATGCTCTGTTATTTTTA